GCTAGCAACGGCCTCCAACCTAGTAGCGATGGCCTCCAACCTGATAGCAATGGCCTCCAACCTACTAGCGATGGCCTCCACCTCCAACCTAGGACCTAGTAGCGATGGCCTCCACCTCCAACCTAGTAGCGATGGCCTCCAACCTAATAGCGATGGCCTCCAACCTAATAGCAATGGCCTCCAACCGACTAGCGATGGCCTCCACCCTAGTCGCGATGGCCTCAAACCTAATAGCTAGTATAGGTTCATTCTTATGGTTTTATTGACAGAGGTGACCCATAGCCAACGACGAAGATTTACGTGGATTTTGCCACCGAACGCCTTGGTGAATAAACCAGAAAAGTTGCTAAGGTCCATGGAGCACCAGTTGACAACTCCGAAGCCTGAATTTGAAGCGCGCTTTGTGAAAGCCAAGAACACAACCGAAACAAAGCCAGACCTGGAGCAAGAACGTCGCGCATACAGACTCCTGGACAGAATGGCAGATGTCAGTTCTGTTTGATTTGAAGGCACCTCCACCTTATATAAATCACTTTATCAGATTTGGAGAAGCGTAATGGACTCGTCCATGCAGTGTCCGATAGGCGAACTTTGTGCGGGGGGGAGGCCCGCCCCGTTCGCCCCGTTTGGTTCTTGGGTGCTTTAGGGCAAGTCCCTTGCCGACTGATTGTTCTTCTGTAAGTTTTTCCTCTTTGCTTGATGTCAATTTGAGGGTTTATGATTTCTCAGGCTGGTTTCCTTTTCCGTGAGGCTTCGACCTTTGTTATTCTGTTTGGGGCTTGCAATTGATGTTCCCCACCCACCCGCACCAGTTGTTTTTATCTTTTTTCTGTCAGTGGTTTGACGCTATAGTAATTCTGGGTCCACCGGTGTCCACGAGATACACTGACTCCTTTTGAAGGGTGGCCTTGGTAGAGTTTTGACCCAACCATTCCTGTCTTCGCCCGCGCTAGATGTTTCGGAGTCTAGAGGGACAAAGGTGGTCAGGGGGCTGCAGAGACTGCAGCGGTTGTCAGTGGTCGGGCTGCAGTGCTTATATATGTTTCAGTCTATTGAGCTGATGGGTCAGCCATGGTGTTGACAGGTCCCACCCCCTTCAAAGAAGGGGTGCGTCTTTTCCACAGATCCATTGCCATAATCCATACAAAAAGCAGGCGAAGCGGTCAGCAGCTCGACTGGTGAATCTTTTGAGGGAGTTGAGTTTTTGCCCGAATCTTTGGGGGTGAGCCAACTTGTTTGCTGGAGTTTCCAGTTCTTGTCTTTGGGGTGGGCCGATAGGGTCACCGAATGATAGCAAGCTAAGGATTTTGGAAGGTTGGACGAACAATGATACGCTCGCAGCTGGATGCTGTCCACGAGGGCCAAGTCTTTGAAGCTTGGTAACCGACAGTGCAAGCTCACAAGTTGGGAGCCCCATATGTGTTCACCAGGAGCAAAGGCCATCGCTACTAGGAGGAAGGACTCTAGTAACAATAAAGCTACTAGGGGCTCCTAACATCGCTACAAGGAGCAAGGACGCTACCTGGGGCCATATTAGGTTGCAGGGAATCACCTTTTGTCGGACCCACTTTCAAGCTCGGAGAATTCAAGAGAGTTCGCCAAGTTAGGACAATTCTGGGCTCATTTAGTTGAGAGAACTCATCCCACTTCTTTTCAGATGTTCACCCCAACGAGCCAGTGCGACGGACGCGACCCTACGCGGCTGGACTCTGGTGGACTCTGGTGACAAGAATGTGACGGCGGGACTTGACTTCTCAGGACTTGAAGACACGCGCGGTGTATGCGATCAGGCACAATGTCGAGCAACCTTGATGCTTTAAGAGAAGCAACATGAAGCAACTTTCGATTTTCCAAACCCAACGTAGAAGTTCTTCATGGCCCTTCAGCACAATCGAATAGAATCGAATTGTTGTGAGTGAAGCAACTTCAGAATCTTGAACAATTTTGATCTGATGAACATCGCCTCACACTGCCTCACGCCTTGAATGAGTCATGAAGGGAACATGCCCTGGGAATTTCTGTGCTTGTTCCTTGCACAACCCAGCAGGCTGCTGGGTTTGGAATTCTGAGGGATTACAGAAACAAGCGGGCTTACCGCATCAAGCACATTCGCGGCGCCAAGAATAGCTTTGAGCTGGAAATCTATGAGATGATGCGATGCTCAGCAGCACCTATTGCCATTGTTTCTTAGGCACATTGTAAATTCTTTTAATCTCTTTGAGAAATTAATTGAGTGTCCCTCAAAATCTATGCACCAAAACATTACAGTAAGCCTGAGCCCTTCTGCGTACGATCAGTAGTAGCTGCTTGTTAGCTAGCAGCTTACCTATCTAGTAGCTTACTCCGGCCTACCCCGGACTTCAAAAAAAGGGGCGCGATTCAAGGCCACGGGCACTTCTCCTTGCGCTTTGTTCAGTTTTGATTGTCCGCTCAAAGGAAATGCCTTTATGAAGTATGGCTTCCAAGCCAAAATTGGTCGAATGGACGGCATTTTCGTAGCCTATCACAACACCTTGGAGATTTTTGGCTTCCAATATATTCCGCTGGATGACATGGAGCGCTGCATCTACGGTGCAGACCTCAAGCGTATGACTGTGCAATATTGTGAAATAGAGAAGGTGCGTTGGCCCCTTTAAAGAGCCCTCATCAAGGGGTGGTAACCGGTTACCTTCTTTCTTTCATAGCAAGTCTTTACATCATACTCAATGTCAAACGTTCCCTTGGATAGACCTCTGGCTGGGCTCAGTCTCCTGTCTTCGTGCCTGCAATGTGCTTCCCAGGCAGCAGGACTGCTGCCGATGTAGCCTTTGACCTCAGCGTTCAGATGCTGGAGCAGATCTTCCAAATTTTAGCACAGGAAATTCAGCTCGACTCGGCTTTAAGTTTTAAGTTTACTGTCTGTGGCCGATCAAGAGGCAAGTTTCGGGGTATAGGCGCTTGCTTCAAAGCCTCAGATCCACCCGTGGTGTATTCACTGGAAACGGAACAGGTTGAATGGGTTTGTGAAGGAGCATGATGAGAGCATAGCCTATGTACAGAAATATTTGGTCTCCTACAGTCTAGATGACTCCGAGGATCCAGCGCTGGCCGCCACTGGAACCATCAAAGTGCAAGTTCCTCGGCAACTACAATTACTCATAATGGATTATTTTTAGTTACATATGCAAGGGGTGTTTTAAAGAATCTGGCCAAAACAATGGCAATATTTGTGTGATTATTTGTGTTTAACATTTGAGGCTGTTTGTAGTGTGTGGAAATCGGCAATGACATCCACGACCTAATCAGAGATATTGTGAGGTCCCAATGAGGCATGGTGTAACTAGTGCACCTAGTTGTATTTAGTTGGAGCAGGTGATTCAATCAAATTCAACCCAGGGGATTTGAGGAATTTGAGACGTCTCTTCTCATTTTCATGTTCTTTTCTTCTACCGAGTCTACCGTACAGCTCGACTCATGCAACACATTGAATAAATGCCGTCTACTGTAACCACGACAATGCACCATTCAGTCTTGTATGTTCCAGAGCAAAATTTATTTTATGTATAGCTGGTCTTGGATGAGTGGTCACACTTCAGCAGAACAAGACAGTGCATTCGCCGAGATGAGCACTGAAGACGGCGCCAACAGTGGCCGTGGAAATGTGTGACCTGTCGGCAAGCAAATAGAGAGCCGCATATTGCAATATCATACGTAAATGTGTCCAGCTTTATAATCTCTGAGTCGTCAAAGCCTTGTCGATACCTAGCTTGTCAATGGACATACATAAATTAGTTAGCTATTCTTGCTGGTGGTACCTTGACATACCCTGACGGTAAGAGCGTCAACACCCCTCGCGCATCGATATGTCACCTGACCAAGGCTTTACTTGGCCAACGGGTGACATATCGATGCGAAATGTCGGACCTCTTGCAACAGGTTGGACATTTCAGCTGCATCTGCTGCTTGCCTAAATAGTGGCATGCCTGGAGCAATTTATGTTGCGCAACGCAAAAAGCAAGACTCCTGATACATCCTGATACAGTATATTATATATGGGTTTTAAAGTTTAAACAGTACATTGACATTGTATGTATTTTGAAGCAAGCCTTGCCCGGTATATAGAGAGGACATTCCTTTTCTCACACAAGAGGCTTCATCATTCAGTGCCATGCTATAGTGAGATCAGCCCTAGTGGCCTAACAGTCGGCATAAAAGGGTGCAACAATGTTATCTTCAAGAAGTGAAGTCTTCCATTGCAAGTTGACCAAGCTGACCCTTTTCAGGTTCTGAAAGAAGGCAATGGCCGCGAACTCGATGAACTTGATAGAGCCAGCGGCCTGAGACAAGTTGACAGACGTTTTCCTTTGAAGTGCACAAGTGTTGATGACATGGACTCGACTCCAAAGTTTGACTTTGTTCATGACCACAACAGACATTCTACGTAGATTCGCAGAGGTAGTCTTGACATGTCTTGACATTCACAAGGGACTCCATCCACATGAGCCACAAGGGAACTGCTCAAAGAGTATGTTATGGCGCCCATGGCAAGCCGACAGTCGGAGGAAACTCAAACTCATGCAGGCACAGGCGAATGAAAAAGTGCTACAAAATCATTTGCTTAGCACCGCTGAAAGTAGAGCATGCCCTCCCATTTGCATGAAGCAAGAAGACAAGCTGTGGAATCTGGGACCCAACCGGGACCTCACCTGCTGGGGCTCCAGCACCGCAGAACTCACAAGGGATTGGGGCACTCGGGCCAGATCCCCAATCAACGCAGCACTCAGATGTCGCAGACCAAGATCTTCCACGACTCAAGTTGGTGGCCAGCTCCCATTGTGGCAGAACATTACTCCTAGTAGCGTTCTTGCTCCTAGTAGTAAGGCCAGGAGCCCCTAGTAGCATCCTTAATCCAGTAGCGATGCCAGGAGCCCCTGGTAGCGTCCTTGCTACCAAAAAAGACTTCCCAATCAGCAATGCTGGTTCTCATGGTAGGGAGCCCTTCGCAGGACCGCAGGGACCAGGGACACAGGTAGCGAACAGTTCAGCGAGAGTGTTGGAATTATTGTCCTGCCTTTCTCTATCGCTTTTCAAAGGCCATTCAGAGAAACGTAAGTGCTCGATATTACCTGCAGCTGCTCCACCCTTGGATCGAGGTTCACCACTTTCGTGTCAGAGCGGAGACCTTCCATAGCGATAGGTGCAAAGCTCGGTCAGAACTTGGGGCGGTCATGTCTAGAGTGTTCTTGTGATGTTTTCAGTCACAATAATACAGCTGTGGATATATGTCAGTTGACGCACCTTTGAACACCAAGTTGCTCGGAATGTCGAGATATCATGCAGCATTTCAAGGCTGTCAAGGGTCACTCCATGGCCTCATTTTTCTCGCTTGATGGTTCACACTTGTACTGTGCCCGTTTGATTTTCCGGACAGATGCAGGTTTTGCTGAGCGCTGGCCCTCCATACACCGAGCTTTGAATCCGGTTGAAATTTGCCATGCACTTCAAAAGAACAACCTCGGAATTGGAGCCTTTGCGCTGGAAGCAAGAGCACTAGCTCAGCGTAGGAGGTACGAGAAGTACTTGCAGTCCAAATTGGCCAGTGAATTTTGGGGTGGAGCACGGGGTCAAGGCATGGACAGATTGCTTCAAGCCCTTCAGAGAATTTCCTTTTCACACAGAGGCGCAAAATGGTCAATTTTAGATGTTGGCGCCGCGAAATATGAAGGCCCTGACCGGTGTCATGCTGCAGACCTGGCCATTTTGTTGGGCTGCAACACTTCGAGTATGACCATCCATGCCCTTGAGCCTTTGGAGGCCCAACTGGTTCGTACTCGGCGGATGGCGGAGCAGCAGCTGCGGCGTGAGCTCAAATTAACCCGGAGGAAAGCTAGCCAGTGTATTCTTTGGCACCAGATAGCAGCCTCAAATGTCACTGGTGTAGCTCGTATGCGGGGACAATCAAACCAGGCATCGTTGTCTACAGCCATCCCTGAGTCAACCTCGAGCCCAGATTACCAAGAAGATCAACGACACCAACGACAAAGCCCTCATTTTGTGGGGACCCAACGGCTGGATGAGTTCGTCCATGAAACTAACTTAGGGCCAGTTTTATTCCTCAAAATTGACACAGAAGGTCATGATTTGGAAGTGCTGCAAGGGGCACGTTCACTCTTGGACAACGGACTTGTTGCAGTTATTGTTTTTGAGGTTGCAGGGCAAATGAATCAAGACTTCTTTCAAATCCATAAGGAAGATGGTTTTCCTCGCCCTGATGTTGCTGCAAGATTGAAAGGGCAATTGGCAGAGCCAAACCTCAGAAGCATAGTCAAGTGGCTGCAACCATTGGGCTACGAGAGTTTCTTGCTGGGAAGTCGTTCTCTCATCCCTTTGTCATTCTCCTGGTGGGATAGCAGCTACGAAGTATGTATTTCTCGTGCGGAGATTCCCTGCTGGTACGATGTGCTGGCAATACTTATGGACAATGGCGCTGGATTTGGGACCTCTTTGCCACAAATAAGACAGCCTATTTTTGAAGCCTTTGAGCCAGTCCTTTGATTGTGCCCACAAGTTTGTAGAGTGATTCTTGCAGAGCCACAACAGGATCATGCTGGATGACATTGCATCGTTTTGCCCACAGGCGACTTCTCAAGTGATTTTCTTGCAGCCACTGGCACCCACTTCGTTGCTCTTGTCGTGTGGTGTTTCTTCTCTACAAGATCTATAAGTTTATAAGGCTGTTCGACACTGGATTACTGTGCCTTTGTTTCAGATTTTGGTTAGCATCGAGGCATCGAGCGCAATGATTGGTATACAATTATTAGTATCAACTGGTATCAATGCAAGCGTCCAACCCGATTTGTCAAGTCAGGCTCCACTCCCAGCTTTCGACTTCAACCTGACATACTGACATACGTTCAAATGTCTGGAATTTTGCACGACCGTGCCTTACCCCTTGACTCAAGGATGGATTCCTGGAAGACGTGTGCTGCTTCCTGTGCAGCACACGTGGTTACATACCAGAGATTTTGGATTTTGTCAAAGGTTTGAGCTCAAGCGTACATGTGTACTGGAAGTATGTGACAGTGCTTCACTTGTAGTGTTCTCTTTTTCTGCTTTGCGCCAACATTTGTCTTTGCCAGAGCAACTTATAATTTAACAGACTGGCTGTGACTGGCTGACTCTTTCTCATCTAAAGAGATTGGTTGTTGCCAAGCAATGACAAGGACGGCAAGAAAGGAACCTGACATCAATACAAAAGACTCACGCGTTTTCCTTCCGCAACATGTTCGATGTACACATTGGCCTCGTTGGATGTTGTTGGTCTTACATTCCCCATCCCGTAGACCTGGAAGTCAGGCAGACAGGAGCTGATTGTGAATTTACAGAATATTCATTCTGCAGTGGACAAATGGCAGACACTCCAGTTGTCTTACTGTTGGCAAACATGAAGAACTCGGCATTACATCCAGTGGCCCTAGCAATCTGCAGTGGACAAAAGTTGCGAATCAAAGTTGGTACCGACTGTGTGGCCTGCCCAAGTTCTTCCGCTAGGTTCAAAGGGTTGTTCAAAGCTCACATTGAAATCAACAGAATTCAGCTTGCCCTCAGTGATTGTTGCCCCTGAAATCCCGTCAACATGCTTAGCACAGTTGGCATTTTGCACCAAACCTTGTCCTCTTGTTATTTTGTATTTTCAATGGTTTAAGGCTGCCATTAAATTTCGTCAAATGTAGTGCATACTTGGTGCAATCTTGCGAGTTTGGAGCGCCGACGTTCTCTGAGGAGACCTCGCAGTTCTTGGGAGGCATTGTGCGAAATGGAATAGGATCAATCAAAAACGCTGGTGTCAAGAGCAAATATCGGTCCAAAGATTCGTACATAATCATCTATAGTAATATATATATACACATATTGTGGCGGATTTTCCTTGTGACTGTTGTAGCAAACATCTTGAAATGCAAAAAGTAAAAGGTCAAGCATGCAATGCAGTTAAAGCATAATCATGACTAAATGTTGACGTGCTTTGTAATGCAAGTGTTGTAAGCCGCTTTTGCCGCCAGGAATTGCGACAAGGGGACTATGTTGACCTCACGATGAGCGAGTTGTACTTGACAAACAAGCCTGTAGCAGAGCTGCCTCCAAAGGACACCCCAAGCAGCCAGCGCAGCCAGATTGCC